AAGAAGCGATATAAGATATGAAATAAATGATGATAATTCATATAATGAAATAGGAAGAGGAAGTTTTGGAGTTGTATATCTTGCCAGTATGAAAAACATAAAAAATAAAGTTGTCATCAAAGAATTTCATCATCATGGTGTAAGCTGGGAAGATATCGAACGAGAAGCTCAGATATTATCATACCTTAAAGGACAAGATATAACACCCAATTTTCTTGGTGTTTTAACACCACGTAAAAAGTCTAGAAATTACAGTCTAGTTCAAGAATATTACGGTCATGGTAATGTAGAAGATATTTATCTGGAATATGATTTGCCACCAGATGCTTGGATTATTATTTGTAAAAATATTTGTAAAAGTTTATTCCAAATTCATTGTAATCATATTCTGTTCAATGATTTAAAATCAGATAATATTTTAGTTGACTTAAATACTTTGGACATTCGATTTATTGATTTTGGCATGGCAACATTCAGGAAAGGTATGCGATTTGAAGGCTGTTCGGGAAGTCTAGGTGAGTGTCTATTCTATGCACCGGAAGTGAGAGAAGGATGTTTCTCTACACCTCAATCAGATATTTATAGTCTTGGTTTTTTATTTAAACAAATTATAAAACGTGCTAATGTATATCAATTATTTCCATTATATAATTCTTGTACAAAAATTCAAGCTATTGATAGACCGACTCTACCAGAAATAATGGAAATACTTGATACATTATAGATACTGGAACTATTGTAAATACTTGATACATTATAGATACTGAAAACATTGTAAATACTTGATACATTATAGATACTGAAAACATTGTAAATACTTGATATATTATAGATACTGAAAACATTGTAAATACTTGATATATTATAGATACTGAAAACATTGTAAATACTGGATATATTATAGATACTGAAAACATTATAAATACTGGATACATTAATACCTTGTAAATGTCGATGATTTTTTTTCAATACTTGATATATTGTAAATATCTGCTGGTAATTTGTAAATATCTGATAATTGGTAAATATCTGATAATTTGTAAATATCTGATAATTTGTAAATATCTGGTAATATGTTAATAACTGATAATTTGTAAATTTCTGATAATTTCGCCAGACAGGGTATGCTTACTCTTCTAGACACCTGATATCACTTTTCATTATGAAATACTTCCTCACTTATGATTGATATACTTCCTCATTTGAAAAGTTCATTAGCTGCTACCAATGTTTCGCCAAAAAGGTTGATATGGATTTCGGGTTTCGTTTTGCGGTTCGGATCGTTAGTACTTGGTTTATTTATTGTAAATATCTGATAATTTGTAAATATCTGAAACATTGTCTATATTTGATAAATTGTAAATATTTCATACATTGGATAAGGACAGTGTAAATTTAGATCAAATATAATTTTAATCATAAATTGACTATCTAGTAATATTTATCTGAAAACATCACTGACATGAGACATGTATTATATTGTACATATAAATATATATGATATATAATATAATAAATGTCTCTTGACTTAATTAAGTCAATT